TGTACTTTAATGTCGGTGTTGTCTATCAACGTAAAATCATGTGCATAATCTATTCTTTAAGTTTTCTATATTAAGAAACATGCGTAGGCAGTGGCTGCGGTTTATCATAGTCGAGCAGCCGCATGTAATAAAATTGCAAAATGTTCGTTAAACTAAAACGTGATACCTACGATTAAAGAACGTTCTTGTAAAATCTAATTTTGCCTCTATCGATGTACAGTCTATAGTTTTATGGATACTTTCTTGCAATTTTGCTTCCTCGAGCATTTGATTTTATCCGATCAATCGTTAACACATTCTTGTAATAAAAATCTTCTTAGTTTATTAAATTTTCGTAAATATCCAAGCTATCTTTGTAGCTATACCAAGAGTTTCTATTTTTTTAAGCACTTTCATAATGTCTTTCCAAATATTGTTTAACAATAATTCAAGCTCTTTTAACTATGTTAAATAAACGCGATTTAAAAAAAATTCGACATAAAATTCATGCCAATCTTGCTATTTTTTAAAATCCGATAATTATTAATTATTAACCTTTTTAGGACTAAATTTTTTTCAGCCTATAAAAAAGATTGTTTCGTAAGGTATTAGTTAACCAATAGATATATGTCTTCGGTAAAACTGATCTTAGAATTTTAATTACAACAAAACCATCTGAAAAGATGTGTTTCTATTATTCATAATTAAAGACGAAACTAATTTTTCTTATAAAGTAGAAAACATTTCGGTTCTGAGAGGATTGATGATTAGAATATCGAGATTAGAAACAGCATCGTGTTCTGTGCTACAAATTTTATTTAATCTGTTATTTAATCAGGAACCCTATTTTCTATCGTTACACATTGAAATAAAAGAACACTGACTAGTGATATGATGTTGGATGACATCGAATCGCAACAATGCAACCCCCTCACAATGCCACTTCAAGAACGTGAACTCTTGCCCGCCCTGTTCATCCTCCAATTTAACACTTGCGTGACTGTTTCCATTCACGTCGAGCGGATAACAGCGAGTATTATCTAGGCCATGTAAATTACTTTCGGTAATTTGGCTGTGGCCGAGTAAATTTCTATAGGAGGCACGAATCGATCGCCTAATCAGACCTGAAATCGGTTATTCCAGATCGAAACATTATACTGGAGACGTGAGCCAGTAAATATGTATGGCTTTTACGAATTGTTAAGACTATAATAATTTATAAAAAGTATTCAGTATAACAGGTATTCTGTGAAGTATCTTTTAAGTTCCATTATGTAGAAAGTTTTACTGTACTGTGGTTTGTATCTCGAATTGGAGCATAATTGAAGTGGAAATGTAGGAGGGAAAAGGTGAACAGTTCAAAGTGTTAAATAATAAATATTCTGTGAAATATAATTTTGAAATAATAATATCTTCTAAATTTCATTATGTGGAACGTTTCATTGTACATTTCCTCCATTTCGAATAATTGAAAAAGCTTGGTATCGTTACGTAGAGATGTTACACATACAGAGAACGATATGCGCAATTTGAATAAACTATAACTTCTTCATAATTGTAACGAAAGGAAAATGTTAGAGGAGAAAGGTGAATAGTTCAAAGAGTTAAACAATTATATACACTCCTGTTTAAAGGTTCGCAGCATGTTAAGATTTCAAAAGAAATAATGGCTTTTTAAAGTAAATAAAAAATCTATTGGTAAAGAAATATTATTCTTTTATAGTGTTAAGATTGTGTTTAATTACAACAACTGAGATCAATATTCGAAAATTTTGTAAATTCTGTGTTTCTCTCTTCATCGTTCTTCGTTTAGAAAAAATATGCGTCTCGATAAAATAAAATATTTGTTGCTATTAACTACGGTACTTGTAGCTTATTTTTCAACATAGTAAACTAGTTAGCTACTATAGACAAGTATATCCGCTAATAATATCACGCGTATCACGGTTCCGAATACTAATGTGAGCTACTGTATATTTAACAATGAAAGTATTAGTTATAATTATATTTCTCAGAAAAATTAAAGAAAAATTTTCCTTCGTCCAAGAAAGCTGACGGTTGCCCAAATATAGAAAATACAAATTCAGGAAATTATAAAATGGAAATTTCATCGGTTTCAGAAGTTTTGTTTTAACGCGAAAGGTAGAAGAAATCATTCTAAAATTCCACCTGCTCTGTCGATTTTTATTACTACACGCAAAATACAAAGGTTAAAAAATTATGTAACAAAAAAATGTAAATTTGGAGTTTTAAATTTATGACAAACTAAAAGTACCTAAACAAAGCATAATTTTAAAACCTTTCCACGTTGCATGCAGGTGTATTTGTCTAATTCAACGATAACATACCGCTCCAAATTTTTTCTTTTCACGCGCCGTGGCATATTTCAGTGAAATTGTATGGCTTGACAAATCATCGTAACGCGTTTTTTCTGCTTTCTGATACGCTAGAACAAAGGACTTTTCACCCCTGCGTCATGCTGGCGGTGATACTTCCATTACGCGTAGCATCGCAATGAAGGAAGAGAGAAAGATGACTCGAAGTTGAAAAAAAGAGAGAAAAGAGAGCGTGATCGATGAACAAATAGATAGGTCGCCCGACCCGAACATAAAATATAAGAAGTGTTCACGTGTGTACGAAAGGTGACGTAAGAAGGTGCATGGAAATAGAACATTGACTTTTTATTTCGTTTCTTCTAATACGAACGAATGGCGAACTATTTTTAATCATTCGAATTGGTTGTGTTTCGATTTTTGTTTTGGTCTTGTACCAAGGCATAAAATATTGAACACTTTGCCGAATAGGAAAGAATTTCTAATTCCTCATTGTATTTTTAACCAGTGTGGCTTTGGTACTTCCACGTTCCAATTTTGTTCTCATGTCAACAAGTAAAAAGATTTCTAGTGTTTTAAAAGAAGAAATCATATATGCGTATAATAATTCATTCAAAGTGAAATATCTTTTGATGCTAGAAAAGTATAATTGGATAGAGAATCACCGAAAAAACACAATATTAAAGAGAATTCTGTCCTCTATTTTCGAAATTATTTTGCCACTTCTCAAATTTTTTATGTCAATTTTTTACGCTCGAGTTTCATCAGAAAGAGGAAAAACACTTTTGGTGTTTTAAGAAAGTAGACGAGGAATCACGCATAACGTAATGATGAATTTTTCATATTTTCTTGAAATTTGAATCGAATAGCGTTTCTCTATTGTTTATTGTATGTGTGATTTTTCAATGAAGCTTTTCATACGAATGATTTTTACGTTTTTATTTGGTTTTTTTACTCGATAAAGGCAGTTAAAAGTAACGCTAGTTCGTGCTTCCATCAGTAAATATTAACATTGTCAACTTGCATTAAAAAATGGATAATATTTCAAGGCCACATAGTTTATTTAATTTTTGTTGGCGTTTTGAACAATATTTACAGCATAAAAGTTATTTCTCTAGAATTAACTTCTCATGTTTTAAATAGTCAAATAATTTTATTTTATTATGTTCCTACCTTTAGTTTCTAAAAATAAATTTTTAACAAAAGCGTTTATCTTTTTACTGACGTTATTAGTCGCCTTTAGATTTAAAAATTTAATAAGTAAACAATTAGTCGATACCAGACGACCATTTTTCGACTCTTGAAAATTACATTGTTATTGAATTTTAGAAAGAACAATATTTTTTTATTAAGCACCATTTATATTGCAAAACACTTTTCTAAAATTTCTATTTCACCAATACTTTTGCCCAGCTTATAAAATAGACTTGTCGTCACTACATTGACCTTCCACTGCGTAATAAAAACCGTAGAATAATAATTGCCTGAAATTATTCTACATTCAAAAATAAGTTGAAAAGAAAGAATAAAGTTTTGTCGTGCGGGGTCCAGGTTCCCGGAAAATCGAGTTTCAAAAATTCGTCAAGTACACCTGCACTTGCAGTTAGAGAACTCCCAATGGTACGCGTTGAGCGTGGTTATCGATGAAGAGTCGACGACACCTATTCCAAACTCGATTTTCACGAGAACAAGGCCACCGTGTACTCGACAAGTTTTCAAATTCTATTTTCTTGGAAACGAGACCTCAAACGAAGAGGCGTTCGTTTCCTCTATTCACCTTATTTTCACACTTTTTCCATGCACAGTGAAACACTTTGCATTAAACTATGCTCGATACCTTGCGATCGAAAGAACACAACGTCAAAAAGTCTAAAATAAGAACAGAAACCTTACACTGGTGCGCTTATATTAAAAATTACCGATGGTTAGTAAACATATATTGAAAAAGATTCTATGTGAAAACAAATATTAACAGGTTGACTGTCAAGATGGTCACCGTTAATCTGACGGGTTTTTCTAATTTTAGGATGATTAAAATAGAACGAATATCGTATCATCTGGAAGCTCTTAAATATTGTAAATACTACTAAATAACACGTTAAGTAAAAGATACGTTTCTCGACGATCAATAGATAACCTTTATCGTAATACGATGTTTTATAATAATTGGATATTGTCCCGTAGACGAAATATAAACGAAAAGGTACGCATAAATTTCACCTGGCAATCAACGTATTGAAATAGGAAGCGACGAGGAGGAGAATTTCAAGAAATCCCTATTACGAAAACGATGTGCTGCAGCACCGAGCAATTACTAACCCCGAGCTCGACGACGAGGTTTGGAGGAAACGAGAAATACACGAGTCCCTCTTACCTAAATCAAAAGAGCAAACACCGCTAATTACATCATCAGGAACGAGACCGTCAGCGTGCATGTGTACCGTGGCGAACGAGTTACCTATATGATGGAACGAACGGAGGCGAAAAAATGTAAAAGAAAAGTAGGAAGGAATGGGGGAAAGAAAAAAGAGCACAAAGAGACAGTGGCGACGCAAGGTCGAGTAGCATTCCGAAAGTTAAAGAGTTTCGCTGTAAACGATAGCTACGTAGTGGAAGGTGGGCACCTCGGAGGTGGAGAGTAGGTGGTGAAGTGGCCGAGGAGAGAGAGTGCAAGGTTTAGGGTAGGACGCAGCTCGCAGGAGCAGTAATATCGATCGATCCGTCGAGTTCGAGGCTCGACAGGGTCGACTGGGGGTGCTGCAAGTAGAAAAGCTCTCCCATAAGCAGGCAAGCTGGCTGGCTGGCTGGCTGCCCGGGCACGGACTGTTTCCACTGTCTGTCTGTCCGTCCGTCTCGTCTCGTCTCGTCTCATTTCGTCTCGTCTGGTCTCGCCGCGTCTAGTCTCGTCTATCTTTGCCTCTTCGCTCTTCTTCTCGTCTTGTTCTCGTTCATTGCATACAGAGACACATACAACATACATGATTTTGGTGTCGGTCTCGGTATCATCGTTTTGATACACCATGTAACGCTATAATGTACTCGGTGTGACGTGGAATAACAAGAAAGAACGCACGATAGGTTCGCAAAGAGGTTCGGTTTGTCGAATCGTTTTGCTTGATTGTGTGTTATCTCGTGTCGTGCCGTGGACGTACGCGCGGTACGGTTCATCGCTGTGACCTTGAGAAGCAGTGACAGTGCGTGTCTCTGACCTTGGCACAGGGTTCGCCAAGTTCTCCGATGGCAGCGCGAGCACCGCTGCCAGCCGCGACGACAGCTGATCGACCACCGGCCAAGTGGAATCCCAGTGGAGGATGTGCACCGACTGGATTGCGTCACCGAGCATAATCAGGTGCGTGCGATTGAACGCGCCCGTTTCGAGGGCTGATTCTCGTCCGGGACGAAACGCCACTCGGTGAACGACATTCGTCCCGCGGTTACGTAACGGTTACGGGTCGACTCTCGCCGGTTAAAACACTGTCGGAAATTTCGTTTTGTGATTCGAGAAAGATCATCTCGTTGCGTGGAAATTTTTCCCGTTCGTTAGTGTGTTCGTTTGAATCGAAAATGGATCGTCCAGAGGTGAATTGACGAGATTTTCAACTACCTGTTCATTTGGAACAGTGCCATGATTTCACGCGTTTCGTATAAATTCGATTTCAGTTGCGATCCAGATCGCGTTGATATGCGATTACTCGAAAGCTTCGCGTACAGTTCGGTGCAGGCTCCACTGACACAGATTTCGTAAAGGTAGAATCCACTATCGAGTTTACGTAAGACCGTGAGCAAAGGTACGTGTATAGCGTACTGGGTGAACTGCCACCATGGCCAGTCGGGTGACATTTAAGCGTGGCTGTAGTGACGTCGTGTATTAAACGCGCTCGAGTTACTTTTTACCTCAACGATTGGGGACACATGAACCTTTTGTTAAATCTTTGGTAAATCAACAATTTTTTGAAAATTATCAAGTCGTTTCTTGCAACTTGTTTCTTCGGATCAATCCTCTCTCCTGTTTACATTAAATCGATTGACAAATAATTGTCATTTGCAAATATTAATTCTACACTTAAAATACATAAAATTCGCAAAAATTTGTATTAATGTATACTAAGTGTACACTGTGAAACAGTATTTATCACTATCAGACAACGTTAAAATACTAGAGTAATTTTATTTATAATCTAGATAACACTTTATCAATTTCAAATTAAATATATGATATTTCAAGCAAATTGCAAGTTAATAATCACGCTTAAATCCGCAAACTCGCAACGAAACGCGATAAAAATGATATATTTAATTTCTATAACGATTATGAAAATGTTCTATTGCCATCTTCGACGAGGAACGAACGAAGAGGCAAAATTTTGCGCAGCGAGAGCGCACTTGAGTCGCACCCCTTCGCAGACGAACAGGTTAAAGACGAAAGTTTGCCACGGACAAGGTCAACAGCTAACTTTTAACATTAACCATATCCCGCGTTCTCATGGAATATCGTAGCCATGATCTAATTTCTTGATATCATCTCCTCGTAACATTCTATTTATCCATTTCAGAGTCTGTTCTCGCTAGTTTCAAGATCGAGCCTCGATCTTTATCTGAACCCTCGATTAATCCTAATTGCATCGCGTAAATTATAAACATCCATGCAAACGTGCAAGCGATCCATACCGCGTTTTCACTTCTTTGTAGGGTGTCTGCGCCGCGAACGTGTTATTCGATGAAAACTACCCTAGCGGAATGTTCCCAGGTGCTGCGAGGGACGCGCACGCGTTATTTTCCGGAGAAAATTGCATCTTGTTGTAGCGACTTGTAGCGCCTCTTTAAAACGATATCGTAAAATAGATTATGGAAACAGAGCTGTTAGGGTAATCGATGCATGGCTGTACATATTTAAAGATTGATGGGATTATTTGGAATGAATTTAAGATAACGAAAGCTGATCAACAATTCGAGGATACAGTTGGAGGCTGTTATAATTTAAAACAGTTAATAACAGTTAATATAAATTGTGTATTTTGTCATGAAATAATTAATTGATTTAAATAACCGAATAATTTGTGAATGGATTTGAAACGTCAATGAACAACTTGAGGGTTGAGACACGTTTCTGTTACACGAATAATATGGCACTATAAATGTAGAACAATCGATATGTGGTAATATAAATCGTGTATCGTATTACGAAATAATTAATTCGTTTAAATAATCAAATAATTTAAGGGGATGATTGAAACATCTAAAACAAAGCAATCACCCTGTGGTTTTAATACTAAGTACCATCTTTAACGGAGATTTCATTTGAATGGAATATCATTTTTCGAATAGTAATTCTTTAATCATTTCAATCGTACTAATTATTTCAATTACGATATTCGATGAATTATTAATCAACTTGCATTCAACAGCGTTTCAATCGTATTTTCATAAATGTCGATATCGCGGATCTTCTGCCGCTCGAAACGAAAGTCTGTCAATGTTACGAAGCGAATTACATTATTTCACATATAATTACACTACATCATTCGATAAAATATTCGACAATTCCTATTAAGATGAATAATCACACGGTTTACTCGAAGGTTGCATAGCCGTTCAGGAAGAATATTCCGCCGTGTTATTTATCCTGGTGTAGAGGATATTTCCACTAGATTGTATCGTTGATCGAGTTCCGCAATTAACGACGAGAAAAGGAAATGATGGAAATAGTGAGTGGGATAGAAATACGGCGTGACCCGATCTGTCAGCTACAAGAAGTAGCTACGTTACTGCCTGGCCATGTATCTGATGTGAACTTGATAACAGCAATTAGGACGCGAGTAATTACTGTTTAGCGATGTTGATTTTTTTCGACTTGCTTTTTTCTATCATTCACCACCGACCGTTTCGCTTGATACGAACTTTTCGCTTGAACTCAGTCGAAAGATCAGAAAGATCGTAAATGTTTGTTTAAAACAGCAAAAATGATGTTAACGAGCAATATGGAAATTGTTTGAAGCGAAATATAATTTTTTCAAGCGTGCAATTCTAACTAGGTAGTAATGTATTGTGGCACTGGATCGTTTAATGTATGTGTTTGTGTGTTGTTTTAGGAGATAAACAGAAAGAAGTTTCTGAAGAATGAACATCGAGGGAAGAAATTGGTGTAGAAAAATCGATGAAACGGAAGATATATAGAGGTTTACCGCTTGGACGAAGCTATACATTAACAATGGACACTAGTGAATCAAGAACAGATGCGCCAGTACGAGTTCTCAGACGTTTGCAGAGCATGAAGAGGAGAAGATTCGTCTGACTTCGTAGACGCGTTCGGTGCCAGTTTAGAGAATGGAGGAGTCCTCACCAAGGATTCGTTCCTATCTGGAATGCTGGGACGTAAGTATTATAAATTTCTCGTACAATTCTTTGTAATTTAAATAATCGCACTATGCATAACGGTATACCAAATCAACTAAATCTGTTCGACTAGTTCAATGAAAATAAGAATTTACTTAATATGTTACGAATCGTATCATTTTCTTTGATTCTTCCACGTATATTTCTGTAATTTGAACATAGAAATTAAGATTGAATTAGACATAACTATATACCAAAACAATTAAATCCAATTATTCAGAATTTAGATTAATTGAAACTTAGATGAAAATTAGATTTTATTTAATATTTTATCAATCATATCGATTATTTCTCTCTCGCCGTTTTTATTTCTCTTCTTTTTCTTCTTTTTTATTATACTAAAACGTATGTTACTGAAATACTTCAACATGGCAGACAGAAAATTAAACGAAAATTAAACGACGATTAAGATCTCGAAACAAAGGAGAAAGAAAGCGGCGGCTCACAGTTACCCAGGAGAATGCAGTTGTCGGGACTTTTTCCCCGATTTAGACTCGAATTTTGAAAATTACCCGCACACACTAAGGAAGCACGAAGCATTCTCGTCCGTACGATCGTTCAAGATGCAAGTCGTTCTTTGTGCCAACCCCCAGTCAACTCTCGCTACGCGACATTTATACAACCTCGCGGACACCATTGTTTCTTAGTCCCTCGTTATTTTCGCTTTAAAATTACATCGTTTTACAGACGCCTCGAAGACCATTGAATTTCCTCTCCATTTGTTTCATTTCCAGGATCCATCCGTTTCGTCCTCGTTACAACACCATTAAATTTACACTCTCTTTTTCGTGGTAATAGAAGGTTTGTCTTTAATCATTCGTTTTGTACACTGTTTTCTTTTCTTTTTAATAGAAAAAGGCATTGTTGCATAGTAAACGCAATGACACAAGTCTCTTTTGAAATGATCATTTCAATATTTCATAATACCACTTACAATTTTTGTGATTTTATCATTTTATTCCTTTTCCAAAAATTTGTCCTTCTAATCCTTTTACTTCGGAGAGATGAAAAATAAGTTACTAGCCTTAATTTTTCTTTTTCAATTTTTCTTACAATAATTTTTATCGATTCTTGCTTTCATCTCCTCTACATTGAAGTTTTAAAATCTTATTCAATTTTCATTTAATTACCAAATTTTCTATTATTGGCAACTTTTGTACTGTCCCTTAAATTTTTCCAGTAATGTTTCCTATTTCCTTTGCCAGCACGAGTCATATCGACCTCTGTAAAAATAGTTTCGCATTAAAATCGAATCAATACACGTCGAATGGAATTCTTGCGAAACTAGTTCGATTGTAACACACGTACCACAATAACAGCGAAATATCCAGGAAAGTTGGTAAGGAAGATATTCGATTCGACCCATCGAAGCGGAAAAACGCGAGGAATTCGGTCGCAACATCCAGCTCCTGTCGTTGCTTGACATTTCGCCGCACCGTCGAAGATTTAGGATTTTCATTCGACTATCGAGCGAGGAGTATCGGTCTGATGTTCTTGAGGAAGAACACAGCTCGAGGGAAAATCGATGGCCAGAGCCGAACAGCTCTCCGAGCGGAGAGCTGGGATCCATCTCGAAAATGAAATTTCCTTGAATGAGTTTCTCGGCTTTTAATCGATTCGCGAAAACTTAATGTTCTTGAGCGTCAAGGCAAACGTTTTAATGAATCGTCCGCGAGAATTTGTAAAACACTAAAGTCGGCAAAGACCTTAATGCGAACGTCGATTACGCAGCCAGACAAACAAACGTTCGTCCGATGAAAATCTTTCCACGAAAACGGTCATTTTGTCGAATTAATTGTTTCCTCCTCTTCGTAATAACTTGCAGGTAAAGGGGGTTAATTAACGATAAGACAGAGTCGAATACAGATTCCTTAGATCTTCTTTCTCTTTACGTTCGAACTGATTAAAATCTGTTTGAACTGACATAGCGGATGGTTAGTCATTTTCTTTGCCAATCTCTTCTCGTTTCTTCGCGTTTCTTTTATTCTTCTTTCCTTTAGCTGTCTAATAGTAAAGGAGATTTGCTCGTTTAGCTTTTGTTAAAAATCGGAGGTAGAAAGTATCATGGAAGTTTTTGGAGATTTTTACGACGTTTTACACCGGTACATGATTAATTGAGAGACAGAGATTCGAGCAAGTCGTCAAATATAATAGTATGTATTTTGTATTTCAAATATCATCGTATGTAACTTATTTATTTTCTATAGAGACTTGATATATATCTATAGACACTATCTGACACTAGTGCAGCAAATATTGGGAATTGTTCGTCATTTTATCATACCGTCGAGAGATTAACCCTACTGTTCTCAGTAATTTGTAAATATTCTAATTTATATTACAATTTATTATATAATTTATTGACACCGGAGTAGAGAAAAATGGAACCATCGGAAAATGAAAAGCATTGAGCTAACATCATTTGATAACAGTAATATCGGAAAACGATAACTAATACACAAAGAGGGTAGCAAAATTATTTGAAAAAGAAAAGATTATTTACTTGTGGAAGATCTTTCTTTTATATATTGCATCCTTCTTTTCTAAAAATACCAAGCACCGATAATGTGAAATATCGATACGACAATAGTTAATTAAAGTTGTTAACAACTTGGATTAGTGTATACACGAGACTCACGATAATTAAGCACTAAATGGTAAATACGTTAAGTAGTAAAAATTAAAGCCTAGTAATTAGAGGTAACGATAGAAACGAGCATTTGTGAGAAATATTGAACAAACATAAAAGAAAACTATATACGTTTTTCAGGCACCTTATCGTTTTATAATTTTGTTTGTTTACGAGAGAAAACATTATAATTGAATCAGAAATTATTGCAAATTGATCGAATTGTACGACCATGAAAAATTACTAGTGAAGTGTGATAGTGTAATGAGTTGACATAGATAAGAGAATGTAAATAATGTAGCATATCGCGTATTAATTCAACTAAATTTTTCAATAAAAGGACATGGCGTCAAAGATATCCATTGAAATCAATGTTTAAGGAAAAATATATACAGCTAGCTTATATAAACGAATGAGATGTAAAAAATGTTTTACTAATTCATTAAATGATGTACACAGAGACGTAGGAAAGAGAAAATGTTCAAGAGATCCTGTTAAATGGAATTTAAAGGCAAGGTACGCAATCCCAAATAATTAAGAGCACAAACACTGATTGGTGCATTAGCAATACATAGAAGCATTTGCTTTCGATGGCTTTCGATGTTTTTTCGACTAATAAAACAAACCTCATCTTTTCGACCGACTAACAATAAAAAAATAAAACGAAATACAAATATCGTCGAGATATAAAAAATTATACATATGTAATTATTCGGATGTAAATACCTGATCAAATTTCAATATCATATGGCATTTAATATCAGCGCTATGATTTCATGATTTATTACCACCTGCTAACTGTTTCAAGACATTTCGAACGTTTATTGCAATTTTACTGGAACGCGGGTCACCTCCGTCTTAAATGCGCATCACTTTCCGCGAAATCAATTCCAAGCATGCTCTTACTTGGGAGAAGGTCAGCTGCTAATGTTAAATAGACTTTTATTCATCATTTTTATAATTTCTCCGCCTTCGTTATTTCCAAATTACCGGAGTACGAATTCTGTTTGATCGATAAATTTTCGTAGAAATAATTTTCGAAGAACGTTCGATACTCTATAATTTTATCAATTACAATAAGTTAGAAAACGATGTAGGTTACTATTATCGAGGTTAAAAAATAATTTACAACAAGATTGATTAGTGAATTTCTTGCAAGAGAGATATTCTTTTAATTATGGCTTCCAATTATTTATTACGATTTTCAAAAGTCTCGGTACAATTTCTAAGCGAAATCTCAATTAAGGTACTCGTATAAACTGCGTATATTTATGCATTCATAGTAATATTTTCAATACAATTTATGATAAGTTTAGGGGCACAAGAAATGTATAGAAAGTATATATGTACATAATATGCAAAAAGTAAAATACTTGTGATATTTAATTAAATCGCATTTAAGTTCTATTTCTGTAGCTATGTCCATGATGAATATGAATTTGCATAAACATCTGCAGTCTGCTATCACGCCCTTCCTCGATGGCTAGAAGATATTAATATCATGGAAAGTTCACGCTTTCACGCAGTGCACGCGTACTTTATCACGCTACATAGTTGAACACAAAATGAATAGTTGAACACATTAATGAAAAATTTATACGTTTGCTATCGTTCAAAATATCTTGACGAAATTTTGACGAATTAATCCTTATATCATGGACCTTGAATCATATTAATATAAATCCTATCAAATGACCGAGTGTCTTGATATTCGTTTACAAAATACAAGATATTTACCACCTTTACATTTTATTCGATATTTTTCATTTTTCCAATTACTTTAAATTCCATTGACAAATTTTAGTAATCTCGATGTCACGTTACTTACAAAAATATTAGAAACAAATGGTTTAATAAATACTGGCAATATTACACTTAACAAATTAGGAAGACGAAAGAAATGCATGCGAGTATGACAGAAATATTGAATATCTTGATATCTTCATTTTTTTCTACATTTTTACTGTAAATTCTGTGGAGAAATATTTACAAGATGGCTCTAGTAATTGTAATAATGTTACAAATAAATAGCTTATAGTAAACGAGAAGAGAATATTTAGTATATTTGGTAAATCGAGAGAAGGGGACAAATGCATGCGAAAGGAATTGGTGTTTCCAAGAATGAGACAATTTAAATATAACAGTACGAAACGGCGCGGCGTGGAGAACGTAAATCATCAGCCATAAATCATCCACGTTGCACTTGACACGCGTGTCCTACAAAGCTACACCCAGCTGTTATCTGTATGTAATGTTCAAGATGTCGTGAAAATTAGACGATACACGACAGATCGAAACGTCGAAGCAATTTGTTAGCGTTGATTTCCCAATGGTCGTTACTATTCGCGTTATCTTTCTTTGTAAGTAGAGAAACCTCGTAGAATTTCTGTGATTTGGTTCTTTCGACTATTCGTTTACGTAACATCGTTTGCATACGTCGATCCATCGACCATTGGGGAACTATCGATACCAAGGAAAATGGCGAAAATTTCGCGACCTTTCGCCTTGACACGGTGCAGCGGTTCTCAACGAAGGCGCTGGTATTTCAAAGAAATCTCCAGGGTAATATTCCTTGTGATCGATAAGTAAGAGGGCGAAGTTAAAGCGGGTAATATAATTAAGACGCTAGGATGGAGATAGGAATGTTCGAACAGGATTTTCAAAGTTAATACGAGTTAAAGGAAAATACGCGGAATCCGCCTGGTTCTAGGAGGTCTGACCTGATTCGACGGTTAACGATATTACAATTTCTTTTACGCCATAAACGAAGTTAAGTACTTGCTATTTAGCGTGTCGCGGCTCGTTATTTTCTCTTATTCTTCGTGACTTTTTAAGTACATTTTAAATCAAGGATTATTTGATTTATTATCTGGTAAAACGTGTACGGTATTGCCTGATGCCATTATGAAATGTGTATTATGGAAATCACTCGTTACAGAATATGTTCATAGACGTATCGTAACATTTTATCTTACAAGATTCGTTACTGTATCCAAATATGAGTAAGTATAAGAAACAGATATCGCAGTCATTCAAATTTTTTAATTTACTTCGTCCTGCTCTTGGAACCAAAACGTTTCCCTCCACGAGTAAACATAGTAATTTACTTTCCTACGCGAAATGCTAGAATTCCCTGATACGTTAATATTACAATGGTAAATTTAAAATTTCCCCATGATTCTAGACAAGATCGTGGAATTGTTTGACGTTGAAAGATCTGCCGTTCTGATATTCGAACGTTAAACTTCAAATTTCATTGGAAATTCAACTCGAGAGTTGAGAACCGCTGACCATAACCTTCACAAACATTTCTGAATTCGACTCCGTTCGACGAATTATCGAACTTCTGATGAGCACAAAGAACCATTTCTATCGCATAAAAGAATAAAAGGAGACAGAATGGGAATAAAAGAATTCGAATGTATCCTTTGTAGCAGAACGAAGACAAGTACTCGGTGGCGAACAGCCAGGCACCATTGCAGGCTGGCGAAGAGGAACACCCAGAACGCGGTACATGGACAGGGAAATTCGACTTCCTGTTGTCTCTTCTGGGCTACAGCGTCGGCCTTGGCAATGTCTGGCGATTTCCATATCTGTGCTACTCGAACGGAGGGGGTGCTTTCTTAATACCGTTTACGATAATGCTCATTATCGCCGGGCTTCCTCTCATGTTCATGGAGCTTTCCTTAGGTAAGTAAAGTAATCCCTTGTATCTATACGTGGAGCGTTTAATTGTTACATTGTTACAATGTACAAGTATTTCATTATATTGACACGGTAGAATCTTGATGTTATATTGGATAATCAAGTGACTTCGTTTTCGTGTAAGAGAATATCATTTATTTAATGTAATGTAAATAAGTAACTAACAATCACTAGAGTATTAGGATAAAACATATTGTGAAGGATGTTCGGTATATTGCAAAGAGATATAAACTACGCGCTGCTAAACCGTGGTGTTACATAATCTATGAAATGACATGAAAATGAACAGCTGTTGTTTCCGTTTTCAAATCCAATCGAGTATAATCTCTCTGTAAAATTATCGAAATTGAAAAATAAATATGTTCTTTGTGTTTCGTGTTCGGAAGACCAGCGGATATTACAGTCTCGCGATGGTTAATCAAAAGAATCGAGTAGTTCTATTTTAAATCTGCCTGTTCTGTAGTGGCCAGTTCAAAATTCTTAGAAAACAGTCGCACCTATCTTGGAATACTTGGAACGCGAAGCTACCACAGTACGCCACCAAATAACTATCGATTAATTCTATATCGGTGAAATCCGCGTTGAAACTTTCCAAGAGTAGCGATCAGCTGTTCCCTTACGTCAGAAAAATGAGAAAGAAGGAAAGGAAATAACATAAATCGAATGAGAAATATTAATATTTATTAAATATTACGAGTTGGATCGGCAACATCGAGGACATCGAAACTACATCATTACGATGACGAAGCATAAAAGACGTGACGCTTTAACGTTAGATCTATCGCAGAGTAAATAGTATCAGACTTTTTATTTTTCCTATCAAAAGCATGCAGCTATTTTTTTTTATCTCACCTAAAACATTGCGAGATATCTTATCCATAAATTCGCAGAAGACTCGAATATATCACAAAATACACGGAATGGTTTTTCTATAGAAAACAACGTTCAATTATAAATACGAAAAAAAATAGACATCTCGCGAGATCTTTCGCTTATAACATTTGCATGAACGAAATTACGTCGCAAGATATCTCATCCGTAAAGGCAGAGGCGAAACCACACGGAAATAGGCATACAGCTACGCGATAAGAATGCAAACCTCATTCTTATGGTCATCTTGTGCTCAAGGTCAACCCATGTCCACGCTTGTTGATTTACCGAAATAGAACGATCAATGAACGATTGTTCTTCGTTACCAGGCTTACGTAACGTTATTTTTAGGCGAACCAGTGAACCGTTCGTGATATCGACCCCTGTTTTGCGATTCGATATTCCGTGTAAATTGCAGGTGCACAGCTAGGCCTGGCACAAATGGCTTATCGATCCATTTCTTCAGCTGTTTTTTTCCTTTCTCTTTTGCAATATTCTCTCCCACAGGGCAGTACGCGAGCCTTGGCCCAGTGGCAGCATACAAACGCTTCTGCCCCTTACTCCGCGGCTTGGGGTATGGAATGGTGTTGGTCAGCTCGGTGGTGATGCTCTACTACAATTTGATCATCGCCTGGACCCTTTATTACATCTTCGTCTCCGTGGCCGGTGAGATTTAACTATAGTATTATCCATAATGTTACATATCTTTTGCTTTCTTTCTCTCTTTTTTTTTAAGGATAAAAGGATTTTTGTGTCTGATAAGTTTTATGAACGAGAGAACACAGTATCACGGTGCGTGAATTATCGATTCGTCCGAGTGTAGGTTACTGCGTTTCAAGTGCCAACGGGTATCTAGGTTTCGCGGTATTCCTTGTGAATTTTTCTTCTTTCTTTCGTTCTTGGGAAAATGGATAGATGTATGACGAGGCAGCATGAAGAGAGATGAATAATAAATAATGAAACCATAGAAATATGTCGTCGTTAATCTGTCTATCTATTTAGCGACGATCGCAATAAAAAATAATTCATTGCATGCCTCTTAGACCAAGGAAACATTATCGAAACATCAGTGTTTAATATCGATAAAGAAATATTAATTGGTTTGTGCAGGAGCTGGTAAACTGCCATGGAGCAAGTGCGAACCACCATGGAGCACCGAAGACTGCTTCATGCCAGAAGCTGCCGAGGCGTGTATGTCTCAAAACATGAGCTACTTCAAAACAAGATGTTTAAATTCCACTCAGATGGCCTCCATGGGCCTGACTATAGAGAACATCACTAGTGCCATTAGAAGACCACCTGCTGAGGAATATTTCAAGTAAGGAGAGTACACTCGCAAGTATTGCTATTAAATCTAATAAAAGAAGAATTATGCTTTGTATCGTGTAATTGACTCAGTAGTGATAAAAGCGAAATAATTCAGAAAATAAAGTTATTGGTTGTGAATTAAACTACTTTTCTAATATATCATTTCAATCATGCGTTACACAGCAATCACGTGTTGGGGATGAGTAGCGGCATCGAGGAGACAGGTTCAATTCGACCCTCGATGGCAGTGAATCTCCTGTTGGCTTGGATTATCGTCTTCCTCTGTCTGAGCAAAGGTGTTCAAAGCTCGGGAAAGGTTGTATATTTCACTGCTCTCTTCCCATACGTCGTTCTGGTAAGCGTAATTTTCATCGACGCTTCTTTAGAATTTTTATTTTCTTCTGCAATTCTATAATCTGACTTACTTTCCATACTTGTTAATACTTTCAATAATTGTTAATAACTTTTTTTCAATTCCTACTAATACGCGTTTTATCATATCGAGTGATTTCCCCCACACCCCTTTTTTCACTCTCTAAGTCAGTCTCACGCAGAATTTGCTATTTTTCGACGATTCTAACCCACGGGGAGAGCTGTAAACGAAGAACTCTGTTTTCTGTTCGTAGATCACTCTTTTCATTCGAGGGATTTTACTTCCCGGCGCCGACGAGGGCATTCTCTTTTATCTAACGCCCGATTGGAAAAGGCTAATGTCCGCGAAAGTGTGGGGCGACGCCGCTGTGCAGATTTTCTTCGCTTTGAGCCCTGCTTGGGGTGGTTTGATAACGCTCAGCTCCTACAACAAATTCACCAACAATTGTTACAAGGATTCGTTGATCGTCGCTGTCAGCAATATCGGCACGTCCTTCTTCGCTGGTTTTGTCATTTTTTCTGTGATCGGATTCTTGGCTCACGAGCTTGACGTTCCTGTCGCGTCTGTTGTCGATCAGGGTGCTGGACTGGCTTTCATTGTCTATCCTGAGGTATGTGAATATAGAATTATTATTAGCATAAAACGTTCTTCCTTTTGTAAACTTATTTTAGATCAGGCTCAAGTTCTTTTTTGTGAAATTATGTTTGATGAATATTTTTTAAAGATTTATCACGTATTTGATCATGTCTTTAGATTGTATCTTGGTTTCATTTATTTTTCTTTACTCTTCGCGCGCTTCAAAATATTTCTATTAACATTTCGGTAGAGTTGTTAAAATAATACGTGTAATTATAATTACTAGATTGCAGTTTATACATTTAAGGGAAATTTAAGCGTGCAGAAATGTATGTGTAGTGCGCTAAAATATATATAATATTCGTTATAATATTTGTAGATCTTTATTTAGGTCCTATTTTTCTTTGGTTGTGTCTAGAAACATACGAATTTACATGAATATTCGTAGTCTAATAATTATTGTACAATCAATGTTTATTACGTATTAGTAGTATTTATACAATTCATTTCTACAGATTCGATAAAAGAAGTAAAAGACGATAGATTGAAGTCAATTTTAGAAATCGACCTTATAGGGAGAACTGAAAGACTTTAGGATTACAGATCAGGTTACAGGCTTCTTTATTTTCATACAAAACGAAAGTATCTACGTCTGAAACAGCATTTTGTTATTTTACTTTTCACTCTACTGCTACATTTTATGCCGCAGTGTACTAGCTACAGATTTCTGTATTTATGGACGTTTTAAATGTTTTTTTTCTAAAATTTAGTATTTAATACCTTTAATATTAAATGTTACACTATCTAAAAATATATATCAGACAAAAACATTTGTATAAACACTATGCATTAATCAATCATATTCATTATATATATATAAAGTATGCTGTGTTAATTATATATTTTTGTTATTAAAAAAATATATCATACAAATAGGTAGTAGCTCGTTTACCAGTTGCACCACTTTGGTCGCTGCTCTTCTTCGTGATGCTGCTCACTTTGGGTCTCGACTCTCAATTCGCACTGATGGAAACTGTTACCACAGCGATCCTTGATGCCTTTCCAGCATTGAGAAATTACAAATTATGGGTTGTCCTGGCAGCAGCTGTATTCGGTTACGCCGGTGGTATCATTTTCACTACCAATGTAAGTTTATATTGTACATAGGAGAAACCGCGAATGCTTCTTTTCTACAACTAATACCAAAAAGGATAATTAACTAATTTCAGACGTAGGAAAAAGAATTCGTAAACGTTACTAATAACTAGACATTTGTATTCATCGAACTTTAATCATTTTTCATTTATAGGATTGAAAAATACCAAGTAATACACGACTAAATTCAAAATACGTGATCATTATAAAAATTCAAAATACGTGATCATTATATTAGTTATAGAAATTTATTATATCAATGAAGATAATATTAGGAACCTACGAATATATATGTATTTTAATTATTATATCTAATTCACATATCTAGGTAATTTCATATTACATTAATATTCTGTAATTAATAATCTGTAATGCAGAATCTTGTCATTTGACAACATAATTATATCTACCAATATATAACAAGTACGCGATACTTATCAGATAGAGCTTTCGAATGTATTTATGTGTATCTTAAATTATTGCCGTAAGCTAACAGATAGACTGGCCGTCCATTTATGAAACTATATTACTTTTTACATTATCGTCTTATTGTCTTTACAATCTGAATATTTTAGTGTTATTCGTAGCTGTTATCTCCTTTTATATATCTGTTACCTATACTCTGAAGTATCTTAGAAATATTAGAGTACGATAAATAAAATAATTATCGTCTTTCACAATATTTAATTTGCTTATATGTTCCATGTACGTTATAATTTCTTTTCCCAAGTGAAAAGTTACAAAAATATGAGATAGAGTTTAAAAATTATTTTTCTACGAATTTATGACATATAAATTGAAAATTTCAAAGTATTTTACTATATTTATAAAAATAATTCATTCGAGGGTTAGTTTCAGAAGATTGCTCGTAATTGAAATGTCACATTTCGCTGCACTTCCAGGCTGGTATGTACTGGTTGCAATTGATGGACAAATACGCAGCGAATTGGTCGGTGTTATTGATCGCCATAGGCGAATGTATCTTGGTCGCTTGGATCTACGGTGCGGATCGATTTCTCGACGACGTGCAGCAGATGATCGGACCTCGTAGTCGTCCCTGGAGATTTTTCTGGACGTGGATGTGGAAAGTGATTACACCAGCTACGCTCTTCTTCATCCTATTTTTTAATTGGGTCGAATACGAACCGCTTACATACGGTGGCTACGTTTATCCAAAATGGGCGGACGTTGTTGGATGGGTTGTCGGTATAATACCAGTATTGGTCATCGTTGGCGTGGCTCTCGTAAGTAAAATTAAATCGTTCGACGTTGTTCGCGGTGAAATACGAGTGTCGTCGTTTACAGAGTAATTTAGGAACACGATAACATTTAAAGTATTTGGTCTCTTGAAGTCGGAGGAATTGAATGAGAGTTTCAGGATCGGTGCATACAATAGAATGTGGATTATTGGAATATTGATTATTGGCACGCCGATTATAAGAGTTCTTGATTGCATAGGCAGAAGTTCTTTCAGTTCTCGAGTGTTTTGTCATGTATAATTGTAACACAGAAACAGTTATATTAATATAACAAAGTACTTAGGTGCACTAGTTACCATATCGGTCGATAGCTTTTTCCTCTTTTCGTGACAATTGGCAGTTTAGAGTTAGAGTTTTTGTGCGTAGTTACTATATGATTTTATTTAAGTTATAATAAAGCGAAGTAATAATAGCTGCATTGAATGACAATACACTGACAGTAATGATTTGGAGATCGTATCTCCCTAGATCCATTACACTTCACGCTGTTTTTACGATCATTTACCTTTACATTCATTTCTCCTTACAAGCATTCTCCTTCTATCTAAATAAATATCGAAAATGCTTTGACACTTTCGAAAAAGTGCGTAAGTGCAGTATTTTTGAAAGTAAAATATCAATATCTCGATTGATTTAAAATGCACGATAATTTGAAGAAAACCGTCAATGTTTCCTTTCATTTTCTAAAAATCCTTCCATTCCAATCTCGTGACAAGTTTTTATTTATAGCAAAAACCGGCTGATCAATAAAGTGTTAATATTTCTATCAACCATGCGCATAGTAAATGACGCTTCAGAATTAAGAAAAAAAAAGGACTCTTGTTTCTCGTAATAATTACAATACCTATAGCTCGACCTTGGTATCCTAATAATATCCTAATTTTATCAACAATTTCATTAATATTATCAAAATGTTGCCACATATAAACAGACTGAAATACATTCATTAATACGTTATTCATTACAGAATCAACTGAGGGATCGGCGTCGTCGTCCTGCCTACGACGAGGACGACGATGATGACGACGATCTCGACAACAGGCTGTCGTGGCAAAGACCAGGAAAAGGGAAAACGAAGAAGAGCAACGGGAAGAATGTTTGGTGGCGCGCGAAGATGCTTTTACAACCGACTTCTGATTGGGGTCCTGCGGCCAGAAACCCTTCTACCCCATCGAGAACGCTCACTCATACACCGTCGCCAGGTAATCAAGGACTTGATTAAGCTCCAGTCGCGTGCAAGTAAACATCATCCGACAGGACGTGTATTACGTTATTAAACACGGCACGGCGTGGAGCGGTGTGGTGGAAGCATGGTCGTACGAGGCGCAATTTTCATCAGTTTCGGTTCTAATTGCATTTAACTCGGCTGGTAGCAGATAATAATTAATTTAGATATAATAAGCAATGATAGACACTCGATGACATTATACCCGAGCGAAGGTTAACGCTGTACACGCACAGGGAAACGGTGTTTTTCTTATATTAAACAAGATTATCTCGGATTTGTGTAGAGGTCTCCGCTTACATCATGTGCTGACGGTAATCGATAATGAGATACGTCTGGACCGAGTATTTACTTATATATTTATTTACGCGATTGTCGGATATGCAGGGTGCTGCAGAAAATATGTGCCTCGTACTTTAAAACGTACGTCAGTCGTATAGTTGTCGACCAAATTATGATAGAATGAAACGCTAGCAACACACGACTGTTTTATTTGTAAAGCACAAATGTGACGAGCAATCTGTCAACTATGATAAAACTAAATATGCAAAATACATATACAAAATGTCAATAGTTTATACAGTATTAAATCAGTTGATAGAATTCTAAGTAACAAGTGGCAATTTTATCAGTGAAGGATTATAACGATCGATTTAGATATATTTAGGATAATTGCTAATTATTAATCACCCAATGGTATTTCATTGATTCTTAATTATATTTCGCGGAAGGAATTCTTTTCATGATTAACATTTTCGGAAAATTTTTCTGCGAATATTCTTCAAATAATTTTTTTTGTTACGAAGAATGTAATGATATAATCAAATTCTCCTAATATAATTATCATCGTATAATAGAGAAATTATTGCTCTTGTGATAAGCAAATCCTAACTATAATGTATACTTCTTGCATATAAACCAATGTTAATTAGTAGCTTCATATCATGATGTTAATGGAAGCGAAACAACAGAAATTGCGTACAATGTGTAGAATAACGTCATGCATATTTAGAGAAGTCCAAACAGAATTTCAAGTAAAACTTTGCACATGTACATACACGAACTAATATTAGCAAATATTTATCGTGTTGTATCATATAGAATGTCCGACGTTTAACGACTCCGTACTTCACCAAACGCTAAGAGAAGTGCATTTCTACACGCACAAATTACAAAATTAAAACGATATAAAAAATCTTTAGCTTTAAAATCATCTACGAAGATACAGAAATTTGTTGAAATAGCAAAAATTTGGGAAACATTGACAAAATAAAATCAGACATTTTATATGTTACAACCTATTAGATCTACTAGGTTTCATGAAATAATTTTAACGTAGGCCCACCAGCAGGATACAATTCCGTGAGAGACACCATAGTCCTGGTAAACGGTCAGCCAATGATACAACCCTCGGGCACGTCTGGCACCACTCAGAAGCTTCCTGGACCGTCGATCCTGAAGAATTCTAGTAAAACCGATTTGATCACATCCCAGCAAGTCTGACACGATGTTCATTTTATCTGTAAAGACGAGTCTGCCCAGAAATCTATTGCCAAAGATACAACAGGCCAATAACAGGTAGTTGCATATCGCAGATAGGATCGATGATCGATCGGGTGGCGGTCAAACGAAGAATGGCATTGAACGTTCCAATAGAAGAGAGATATTCCTATGGATTTATTTTTTTAAAGAGGAATAGTCGGTGTATTTTTTCATATACTCGAACCCCACAATCCTATTAAATTATATCTTTCATTCAAATAGAATCTACGATTAATTATATGACAATTAAAGTATTTTTGTAATTTATTAAATTATTTAAAAATTCTTAATTTTCATTTTCATTCTCGTTTGCTTTACCAGAGAAGATGTTTGATATTCTGCTTTCTTTTTACAAGTTTCACAGTTCCAACGTAGACTCGTAAGAATATTTAACCATTATCGTCGTTTAACATTAAATGGCCACTATTTCGTTGTAAAATAGTATGTGAAAACTTGTAATCGGTATAGCGAATCGCATGAAATGTAGGAAAGAAAAGGACTAAAAAAAATTTATCGATCGCGACTAGATAGAAGACTGTCGATGTGACGAAGATGCCGCGTAAAGAAACTGTGACACGACTCCAGCACGCGCGCTGCGATGTAAAACCGTTAGGAAAAATTACGCTACTCCACTGCTTTCGATTGTACATACATAAGGACACGAAGAATACAAAGAAAATGATAAAAAAAAAAAAATCTCACACACGGACGGTAAAATATCAAGAGGATAACGAGAGGAATAATGGAATTAAATAATTGTAACGTATTCTAGCGAGGAAAGTTACGTATTTATCGCTACCTACGCTGAAGCGTCATTATACAAATTATTAAGATATAGCAATGACACTTCACCTTTTTCAGGTGGAAATCACTGAACGATTCAATTGCTCCCGTGTAAGGTATCTTATCTAAGATAATGTTCACTTGCACAGCGGATCAATTTAGGCGTTCCGTGCGATTAGGCATGTTCGATTTAGCCGTCAAAATCAAGAGGAGTTCGCGGTTAATTCCTCCTCGTCGCAATTCACATCTATGTAATCTCGTATCACCCGCCATAAACAAACAAAACACACAAAAAAAAAGAAAAAAAGAAAAAAAAGAGAGAAGAAAATACAGGCTAAATTTCTATTAATCCACTGGACAATTTTGTCGCAGAATATTTGTTGTTATCCGACACGTTCAGTCGCCACCATCTGATTTTTTGTAAAGCACCATTTCTAGTTACGCGAGCGTTCGGTATTTTTTCGATGTTGACTCGCGAAATGTTTCATACCTAAGTACCAGCTACGCTGTACCGTTTATCGAGAGAATAAGTGTGATCGTTCAAGAGCGCAAATTTCGAGGAATTGGAAAGTCGAGGAGATTTAAAAAGGGAAGGAAGCGAATCTAACTGTAAGTGCTGAGAAAGCGGAAAAATGACGCGGTCTTAGACAGTATTATCTTGCTGAAGCGAGGATGATTAGCGCTATCCTTCTTCCTGCGTTCACCTGTCGATGTCCTCCAAAAACGAGAGATCGCAACAATCGTTAGTTGATGGGGTATAGAATATTTTTGTTAAAGACGCGATTGTTGCACTATTTTAGTCGTTTTAATCCTTTCAGCGTTGCCACCATCGTAGCAATGGAATTTAAAGTGAGATTGAAAATCTCTGGGAATTTTAATTACGTAAGAGAATTACGTACTAAGCGTACGATAGTGTAAGTGATTCAGATATCTATTTATGCTTTTGGTTTACTTCTTTCGATATCTCCAACGACTGATAAACATGACATTTTATCGAAGCTGAATACTCTTATTTCCATTTTCACAGACTGAAAATAGAGAAGAATAATTCATAACTATGATGATCTATTTTATTGACTTTTTTTAAATTAGAAATTATCGTTACCGATAGCGATGATAGTAAGATTGAAGCTTTTACAAAGAGTCAATAAATATCGTGGTTCAATGCTTAAAGGATTAAATTGTTGAGCGTCAAAGATATATAATGTTCAGCGATAGAAGAGAATTATTTGTCGTTATAATAATGTACGCAATATGATCGGAAGTGGGAGGTCGAATTTAAACGGACGAAGTACGACAATTACTTACAAAGGTTTCGATGATACGATGCGAATTATACCGCTCTGCATATTTTGACGTGGATAGTAAAGTTAATGGTCGACGTTTACCCTTCGATGTAGTTTCTGAACAGGGTAAGCAGGTGTCGATAAACAATTAACTACGCTACTTGAGATATTGTAATGATCACGTACTAGAAAAAGATTTATGGCTGGATAATTTGTTGAGCAATAAATATGGATAATTTCTTGTGCAATTAATATTGAAATACTAAAAGAAAAGAGTAAATAAAAGTAACATGTAACATTTACAAGTTTTTTTAAAATTTATATTAGCTTCCATATCTTGAAAATTTATTGAATTATAATTATTTGTTATATCGACGTGGCTACCGTTACTTTTTATATTCAATTCATTATTTGTTTCATTACTTTTAACATTCAGAAATTAATTTCTGCAGATATTAATTATTTCGCAATTTCTAGCTAATAATATCGTTAAACAGGGAATCGCGTTTTCTTCGATTCTATCTTAAAATTTGTCACATGTAGCATAAGCAGGTCGACTATTTGCTTGGCTTATATATTAAAAGCTTATATTTTTCGATCGTTGTACGCAGAAGTTATTTCGGTTAAGAGACTCAGGGAGAAACAGCTGCTTCGATAGTTTAATTCTGTAGTCTATAAACTGAGCTTAGAAACATAGGGGAGTTGCTTTTATTTTTTGCTATTAATATAGATAGGTGGTAGCCATATTTGTAAAGGGGATAACGCAAGCCATTAAGTCACTTTTATTTCTCTTTACACAAGACAAGATGAAAAATATATACCAAAATAGGTACGAACTTCTCATTAAAAAATTTATCGATGCTTTCGTTTTAAATAATTTTGGTTGGCAGAAAATAAGAAGGCTTAATTGAGAAAATCATTATATTAGTAATAAATAATGTACGTTTAGAGCTTTTTATAATCCTATTAGTTTCTTTCTTTACAAATCATTTCGTCGAGTTTTGCATTAATTTTCTTTTACATATTTACATACGTACTTATTATAGAAACTTACTAAGTATATTATTATTAATTGTATAGAAATTAAATATGCACATATTAAGCTCCTTCTCCAAAATTACAAAAGAAGAAAACAGAAATTAAAAGGTCGTGATCCCTTACGTACGATATTTTCAGCCAACGAATACTTCGCCCGCTTAAGCTTGCAATTCGATCGCGTCCACAATTGGAGGACGACGAACACTTGATCTGTCCTTGTTACACTTAAAAAGACAAAGAAAAGAACTCTATTTTCTTGTAGATCGACTGTCGAGTGTTTCCGCGTGTATAACGCCTCCAATTCCCGTTATCAATTATAATATCTATTTTCCAGCTGCGTAAACTTTTCAGGGTTTCACCTAGTCTATTAGACTAATAGCTGTTCTGCGTGCTTCTGAGAATCGAACGTTTGTTCCGTAGAGTGTAGAAGAGGAAGAAAAAGAAGAAAATGAAGAGGAAGAAGAAACCGTGTATTGTATATATATATATATATGTGTATGTATATATAATATAATATATTCGTATATATACATATATATATATATCATATATATTTATTTTTGTGTGAACCATAGACAGTGAGATGATGGAAGGGTGTTTAGAACGAAGAGGGAAGAAGGAGGAAAGAGGAGAGGGTTGTGTCGTTTCACGGTTCAGCGAGAAAAGCGTTTCGGATCAATTCCTAAAAATAGGAATTATAAAAGAAACGTTTAAGTCAGTGATGTCTCGCAAGTACACCGGACACGCGCGTACATATACAGTCAATAAACGTGAGAAATCGTGATTCTTTATTTTTTATGTGACCCCGTTTGTAAAGTGTTGTTAGCTGTATCATATGTATAACATTTATCGGTATACTTTACGTATATATGTATATACATATACACATATACATATACACACGTTACAGGATATACATATATAGTATATTATACACATTATTGTATATTAAATATTTACATTATATTTATAGGCGCTTGTACACTGGTGTACGCGTCGCATAGTTTATTATATTACGTGTACAAAAGACAAGCATAAGAAAATAATAAAAAAATACACGACACGATTCATCGTTTGATATACCGCAAGAAAGAGGGAGGTTCTGAGCGAGCAAACGTCACGAAACAATTTAACTAGACATTAAAGCCGAGAAAAATAGAAAAAAATCTCGCTGCGTTCAAATTACGAAAAGGCAGACATACAAAATGTGTTAACTCATATCCGTGCGCGTGAGAATCTGTGTGGTGCGATTTTTTTTTTCGCTGCGTTTCGTTGAGTGAGTGAACACGACGAAAAGAAGTGTGAAAAGTGTGTGTAAGTGTACTTTTCTAGAGTAACAAGGGCCTAACTCCACTTTTTGTCCTCTTAACGGTCCACGTGTTCGCGTTCATTGGTAACGTACACAATTTTTATCATCACAAATTGATTGGTCTCGTCGAAGTATTTTTCGTTTGTGCATAAAATGAGCGTAGCTAAAATTAGAGTATCGTTTTAAAATCCTTTGACTTGTTGTTTACGTTAAATTCAACGAACAGGAAAAAATACAAGTTGCCGCGAAACTTTGCCTCTTAAAAGTCTTTTTTTTACACGGTGGTTCGTGGTTACAGGAATTTTCAGCAAACCGTTTTCATTAGAATAAGTTTCACGAGCTTTACGTAAACATGAAATTTGCAAACGATGAAAATTTCGAAGCCTCCTGCGACTATACGACTCGTTCGTAAGAAATCGCAGTTCTCGTTATATCTGCGACCAATATGGTTTGTAAGTAATGAAAGTGGACGTTAAGAGTAAATATTCGTCCTTTGCCATTAATCCTTTGCTCAAAGGGATGAACAAGTGGAGGAGGATTCTCACTATTGGCGTACAAGATGAATCCTCGGTGACCTAATTAACATTTTAGAATCTAGTCGTTGTTAATACTCAGAGCTTCACAGAAAATAGGCAAAAAAGTAAAAAATAAAAAAAAAAACATTAAATAGAGCGATATTCGAATCCCAAGATCGGAATTCGTATCCAATCGAGGCTCGTTAGCTTCGCATTGAAGACAATGAAAGTTTATCGAATCGATTCATATTCAAATACCGAAACCCAGGACTTTGTATCCCAGTTAGTCTTTCAGTTAATTGAATGCCCGAAATCCTGTCGATCCTCCATTTTACAAACATACGAGTAGGTACAAAACACGGTAATCAAAATACCAAGTATACAATTATCCATTAAGTATCATAGATTTTAATAATCTATCGTTTGTATTAAGATCCGTCTGTTTTCGATGAAACGTTCATTTCCTTTTCAACGAAATATTTCCGCTACTGTTCGTTTAATGGGAAGAAGCATTAGACTAACCGCATAAGCTTCGTTTGGATTAGTCAAGTTACTTCGATTCAACAAATTTCGATTCGAGTAATACGAAACCAGCCTGGAATTCTCATCTATTTTACTCGAATTTCTATGCTTGTTCTCATCTATTACCAAAGTTTTTTGATAGCAAATGATTTGCAATATTTCACATACCGGTACGAATGAATTTACTTGACTAAACGAATTAAATATGCTTTCAGGTTTTAAAAACAAACTCGAGATCTTCCAGTTGTTGGTTGACTTAAAGAAAAAAAAAAAAAAAATAATAGTTGCTAAGTGATGTAATCTTATTTCCAGATTTTTTTAGTACTTACTGATATGTACCGATACCTTTTCTTCTAAACTTTATATTCCGTTATATTTCGTATATATAAAATCTCTCTATTATGCATATATGTTTCTAATTACAAATCGATATTTTTTACGTACGTTCATAAACACGATCCCTTTATTCTCCATCAAGTGTCCTCTTGAAATTCAAGTAACTTAATTAATCTGAATGAAGATACACGTACTGATATATTCAGATTAGACAGAAACGAAATTATACCGATAGGAACGCGAGAAACGCACTCCAACTAGCCATATCCGAGACATAATCAAGAAACAAAAAAAGAAAAGAAAAGAAAAGAAGAAGCAAGAATTCTTCGTTTAAGGGAACCCTGACGAACGATTGTTCGATCGATGGCCAGATTTTGCCAGCTCGAGAAATGTGATTAAAAAGAGTACGGAGAAACAATCGCGAGAGAAAAGAGAAGATATAAAGTGCTTGGGATTCGTGGGAAGAAAGGGTGACTGATAGATAAGCATTCGACAGAACTTTAATGTCCTTAGGCTAGATAGGCGAATCTAATGCAGGTTTAAAAAGGAATTTAAACAAAAGATTTAGCGCGTTATTGACAACAACAATAACAATATTTATTATTATAAAAAGAGTTATGTTATATACAAAAGTAATGAATAATAATAATAATTAAATAATATAAATTAATAAATAGAGAGCATTAGCTGCCGGTTTAAACCGGTCAGGCCACGTGGTCGACTGTCCTAGATAGGGTTAAGATTTCGGTGACGTAGAATTATCGGTAACGATGCGGTAACTTTGTTGCTATTACAATGAAAAGTATAAAGTCTCATGATTTAAATGGCTTGTACATTTCATTAATTAAATATAATTAGAAGAAAATAATTGCAACTATCCCCTGTGTATAATTTCCAATAAAATCATATTTGATATTTAATATGATTTGTAAGTGTTTATCGATTAATAGATTTACGTTTCAAAGTACTCGAACTGAAAAATAATCTTCCTTTGGCTATTTCGTTTCTAAGTTGCTGCAGAGATCGTTCGTGCGAGGATTTCGATACGTGAATTCAGGGTTACCGAGTAATGTTTCGGATTTTACGTCACCAAGAGCAACCAATAGAGCGAACAGTACAAAGTAACGTGTCCTAGAGCTAATCGAGAAAGAGAAAAGCGTTCGAGAGCGAGGATAGTGTTAGGCGGTAGCAGATGCGTTATGTTTTATGGGAAACGATAGGATTAATATTCGTTCGCGTTAATAAAACAGATTTTTGTACGTTGGCGAGCATGTGTCTATGGAAAATCGTTGGATGTTGAAGAAATAGCATTAAAACTGCGATTTGTGGAAAATTATTCTGAACGAAGAGAAGCAATTTTAATACGCTTGCTTCTGATACGCTACTCGTGTCTCTCAGATAATATCAATGTAAAAGTGTTTACCTTTAAAATCAGCCTATGATTCAGAAACCTTTTCAGTTCCATTTCTTCAAGTAATTCTTGTAAATCTTCATATTTATTTCATTTTTGCGAGTTACATTATAAGGTACTTTACAATTTCCTTGTTGTCATGTGATTTTGTTAATATAAGTTTATACTACTGATCAATAAAAAATGCTGACATATCTTTATACTATTACTTATCAAACTTTTAGAAATTCTTAATTGCTACAGGCTTTATTTCTGCTATTATAAGATATCGCATTATTCGCGTTAATCTTCTTCTGCCATTGGACGCTATACACAATGTACGTGTAAGAAGAGAATTTCTTTTGTATCATAAAAATTTCACGTACGTTGCCATTGTTCTAAGATACGTATACAAACATTTCAGATTTTACGATTTGTTTCCTTGAATTTGATTAATTATCTTTGCATTTAGCGCTTGGATAAATCACACGTACGAACAAATTTTTAATTTAGTAGACCTTAAATATTTCAAATCTAAAACTATTACGAACACAGAAAACGACGTTTCTATAAGAGAAAATTGCGAATATTTACAACTGGTGTTTACAAATGTTGCTTTTACATATTCTACAAGTTGATTACGTAACACACATACATGTTATCAAAAATTTTAGAATTTTTTAAATTAGATTTAGTTAATTCGATCGATCCTATTGTTTTCACTAGAATTAACGTATACCTCAATCAAATTGTATATTTTCAATGAAACAGAGAGGCACACGGGAAACGTATAGACGAGTGCACGATCAAATGCATGTAACATCTAAGGCAGTGAAGCTACCGAAGGAATGCGACAAAGCAATTTAAACGAAAAATCCAAAGTCGTGTTCTGTCTATATCAAATAAACTTGCACCTAAATAATACGCAAACACAAATACGTATACATATGTACATACATACATATATGTGTACAATACATTACGTGTTGTTGCACAACGTTAACGTTGTCCACATAAATAGATTACGAGAGGACAGTTTTACGCGTGATTAGGATCGATTTCGGATGTTTATCGTACGTTGACGATTATGAGAAATTTTAAAAGTTAGTCCAAGAAAAGGAGAAATTAAGGGGAAAGACGAGAGAAAGTGGAAAAAACACGATATATAAGAGACGATGAGATTATATGGAGGATAAGAAATTGTATTAATATACATGTACATTGCATTGCGGAAGATATATACATTATGTAAATTCTATATATATATATATACATATATATATATGTATATGATGCGTGTGTAATTAATAAAGTGTTGATATATATGGTTGACGATAATGCCACCGCGTCTATTGTCTTCTCTATTCGTTTATTTAATAATCTTATGTTAAATGTCCAAGCAAATATTATTTTAATATATATATATATATTTTATTTTTAAATAATATTATACGATACTATATAATATCTTAATAAGTTAATATTACAAATCTGCATTATCTTTTTGGTAAACGTTTCTTATATGTACTACTTATTTATATATCTAAAAATATACGTTTCTCTCTTGCCAGGTGAGTTTACAAGCATTTTTGGTGCATTTATTATATGAACATTTCATTTCTTCCCTTCTTTCTTTTTCTCTTTTTTTCTCTTTTTTGGCATGTTAACTGTTCGATGAACACAACCGAGGTATAACAAATCTTTCTTGTTGTTCATTTATGAATAATTCTACGAGTATCTGGTTAAACATGGTTTACTCGGATTTAAATTATCTCTCGTTTATTTTAACTTAAGCCTTGATTTTGAACTTTACGATTAGCATCAATAGAGTTTTGTAGCTGGATATTTGAAAAGTATCGAACATCTTAGGAATTAAAGAAATTATCTAAATCTAGCTTTAAAAATGGTTGTCGTAATCGCTGTACGATCATTGGAGGACGGAATGTCTGAATTATAAGTAGATTAACCCTTTGACATTGTAACAGAATGATAAATAATTCAGAATGAACGATTTAGAAAATAATTAATTCTTCGTCAGAAATCCTGTACATTTCCTGCTTCACGTACGAGAAATACATACTCTTTTTGTTACTGATTTTGAAATCATAAAAAATAAAACTATTTGGAGTATAGAGATCTCGATTACGATGTTTCGATCGAAAGTCAATTGTAGCAATTAACTCGATTAGATCTTATCTTACTACGTGACACGATAAAAACCTCTTATCTATGTCAATGTAATCGACACGAAATACTTAATCCGATAAGAATATTTTTATAGATCGATCTCTATTGCTATGCTGATCTCTGATCGAATCTAGAGTAACGTAAGGCAAATAAATCGCGTTTATTGAACAGACTACAAACAAACTCTGAACACAATTATGCTCTTGAATCTACTTCAGGCTTCGCTATACTTATCGCATATGCAAAAAGGATGAGAATCTTTCTCGTTCATCGACGAGTACGAACATCACGTTTACCATGTACTTTATAAATCTTTAACGTATTTCATTGGCTTTGAAAATCTGATATTCTGTGCCTTCGTAGTCAAGTTGTTGAAGGTACGTTGATCCTGGATAAAAGCGTTGAAATTGTTTCCCTTTGCTACGGTACGTAGACGTTTGCTATAATAATATACGATATTATACAGAGTAATTAAGTGGTAGCAGGTGGCGGACCGAAAACCACTCTGCTTCTCGAAACAGCTCCTAGAACCGGCTTCAGAAGGATGAAGAAACCCGCGATGAAGAACGCTGTGAACGTCAAGCTTCTTCCAGTATAGCCACCAGGCCACCATTTCGTGTACGTGCCCGTGATCAACGTCGCAAGCAAGAGCACCGTGACTATGATACCACCGAACGCGTGCATGATTTTCAGAAGAACCGGCCTGAAACGCGGATACAGCCACCTGGAATTGTTGGTAACGATGCCGAACGCGGCTGTTAGAAACGCCAAGATAATGCTGACCAATCCGAGGATCGCGTGAGGCGTGACAAAATGCGAATTGTTGTTGTTGTTCTTGTTGACCACGATGATGATCAGTCCGACTAATACTAATGCTAGACCGGTGGCGTGCAGGATCCAGTGAATCGTTACTCTGTTGGCCCTGGACACCTTCCAGCCGACATACGCCTCACCGGAAACGCTGAATATCGCCTCGGTTATCAGAAGACCCACCTGTGTCGAGGAAAAAGTTGCTACTTAATCGATTGGCATTTAAAGAATTTTTCTATGGGAACAAAGGGAACAGATAAGTTTTGCTATGGGAATGGATGTCAGTTCGATCGTGTGGAAAGTTTCGTAGGGTTTGAGTAGATTTAGCGGAGATTGTTAGGTACCAGATTCCACAACGGAGTTGCGAAGTGTTTTTAGGTGACTGTCAAGGTGTTACTTTTAGTTAGTTTTATATTCTAAAATATCTATGTTTTTAACATGTTTTCATTGGGTTATGAGGAATGTTTTGTATAGCGGGAGGGAGTCGCAAAGAGTCTTTTAGAGGGCGGTCCTAGATTGAAATATAGTACATCATTAAACATTTAATTTTTGCAAACTATTGTATCGCATTTGACCACTTTTTCCGACAGCGTTATGTAAATCATTCGCACTGTGGAAAATGTTTAGGTTTATGACCTTGTTTCAATCGTTCTAAAAAGCTTAGTAACGCGATGACCATCGTGCCAGCCAACGTGTTTCTTAAAATTTCAATTTATAGCGTTACATCATTTACATCACTTACTGTGTTAGTGCACCATCTGAATGTTGATACCCAGATGGTAGAAGCGCTATGTCCTAACTCTCAAAAATAGCAATTATTCCTGGCCGTGTCATAAACTCGGCCTAACGACGAGCTCTAACACGAAGCCTTAGCGTTTGACGAATTTGATAGGCAGAGCAATCGACAGCAATCGACGGCAATCGACAGAGAAAATAGCGATCGTTTTAGTTTACTCAGAGAATGTTGCAACCAATTTGTCGATCTGGGTCAACGGTGGATTCCTTCACCGTTTAATTCGGTGGATGTACAAGTGTGCACGCCTACGATGTTTTAAGGAGATAATGAATCGACATGATATCATTAGAAAGAAAGACAAAAGAAAAAAAGAATCTTAGTAATTAGATTAATCAATGAAGTTGGGTGGTTTCGTTTCTTCTTCCTTTTTTTCTTTTATCACAGATCTCTGCTAAGTTTACTTCCTATTTGTTGCCAACATACTGCATACTCCAGATTCGATTGTATTTGATTTATTTAAGAACATTGTTCGGAACACATGCGAATAAGCAGAACTCAGCATTCTTCCAAGTACGAGGATGATCTAAGAGTTGAGACACTTGGACGAAGGTCGCTTAATCATGTCTAGGATTTTATGTCTTTTACATACAAAACTCTTCAGAATGGCAGACACACGATCATTTTATTTTTTTAGCTTTGAAAACGTAAACAATGCTGTAAGTTGCAGATATCTTTCACCATATTTGTTCTTTCATTAATGTCGTGGAAAATTACGTTTAATATTTTACGTGCGTATGCTATCATGCTTGTTATAATCGTACAACAAGTTAAGTATAGTCGTACAAGAAAGTATTCGTATTGTATTAACTGATAGTGTTAATTAGTTGTATTAATTAATAGTATTCTATACGTATGATATTAGATAGTTTTGCGTTATGTCACGCGCCAGGATATTTGCAACCATGAAAACAATAATTACGAGAAAATTGATCGGATGCCCGCGACGTTTTAATAGTCCCATGAATCACGGCTGTGATTCTGTGTTTCACAGAAAAATGTTTAATCCTCATCGCAAATAAAATATGAAACGAATGATTTCAGCGTACGCCGATGTTGTAATTAGTCGTGAAGATATTTTAAACACATCGTTAGATAACTTGTATGACATATTACATGCTTCGTTATGCAGTTGGCGTGAAATACGAATTGCCTTATCACCAAAATGGAAAAGTTGCGGTTATCCACATAAACTGTCTTCCGTGTTCTACTCTCAATGGATGATATTTCATATTCCACACTTTCTATAAACGTCTGTCTCGTCAGCTTCCTTTGTACAGAAACTTATATCAAAAGGATTCATTTCAATCGATGATTTTTCAAATCGGTAAACACGGCGTTCTTCGGGACATTTTTATTTGTATTTTTCTATCGCTAAGAAATTTCTTCAATTTCTCAAATTAACTAGGTGCTATCGTAAAATTTCACTGCATGAGAATTTCCATTTTAGTATTCTCGTCCTGTAAAGATACCGCCGTGATGTTATTTCTAAACAGCCGTATATCGCAAACAGCTACTCTTCTATTTCTCGTTTAATATCGAATAACAATAGAACAATTAGTTGTCTTACTTCGTTTGGCGTTATTGAACTTCCAGATAAAGGAGTACAGTGTGCAGTGAAATTTCATGGAAAATAGCATTTGACGCTTAAGGAAAATATGGAAGTAACGTTATCGATATAACGCGTAACTTTTCGCTTCAATTTTATGCTAAAGATTTTCTTAAAAGTTAAAACTATTTTCGTCAACTAGAACGAGATTGCAGCATAAGACGTTGGAGAATTCAGTTGCGAAGCTTTTCTCTCTTAAGCTTCGCTTCGAAACTGAGAAACATCAATTTCCGTAACTCTGCAGCGTGTAAACAGAAGATTTATTGCCACCGTGGCATTACGAAACGCATTCGTTGCTGCAGGATGTTTGTCGACTTTAAACAAGAGAGTTGCAGCGACTCCTCTTCTCGAATAAGAAGCAACCTGTTGCTTCAACCGTTAATTTTTGTGCAATGTAATTTTCAACGTATCGAGTTACCGATGTAACGTAGGAGTCAAGCACTTACATTCCTGATCCACGTGCTTCTTTAATTATTCCATTGTGCAATTAACGTTGGCCAAGTTGGCTACTTACTCCGACGCTCATGCAAATGGGATGCCACGAGAAGAAGCTGTACTTTCCAAAGGCCAAAACCAAAATGTATATCACTGGCGCCAATAGGAGGATGTGTGTGAGGGTTGAAAAGACCAGCATAATGGCACTTGGCGGCCCTTTGCCTGGTGGTTGGTCTGTCATTTTTAATTGGCTGTTATCCTTACACCTGTGGGAAGAATTATTATGTATTAATAGTGAAAATAAGAGAAATATAAAATGTCAAAAATATCAAAATACATTGTTACTTTAATGTTTGGTAGTTAGAACGCCTTCGTTGGAAAATTGTTGTTAGAAGATGCTGGTTAAAAAGAGCTTCTCTTAAAAAATTATATCATCATTTGAACGTTCAGTTAGTTGTTGTGGTGCATCAGGTAAAACGTTTGATTTCCGCTAGATCGATTAATTAATTTCAGTTATATCTGGTTTGTTTCAGAGGTTCGATCTAAGTTTGAAAATGGATCATGGATGGAGTTTATTAACAGCCTATTCGTTATGACTCGCACGAAAGAGTTTGATTTGCAGCGTTGTAAAATGTCGCAAACGAATGCGATGAAACGAACAAACAAATTCGAAACGAAAGTTTACAAAAATTCTTCGGAGTCCAGAAAATTTTGAACGTCCAGTGAATTTTGTTCATCGAAATCCAACAAAAATTCTGTCCATTTCTAACTGCCTTGTCTTTCTGCAAGCGTTTCCATCGCCTTTAAATATATCTTCTACAACATTTAAATAAGTGAAAAAGTCTATTGCTATGTATAATTCATCGGAGTGGTTTATGCATTTTTCGCTACATTTTCTACGTTCATAGTAATGTTGTCACTTTTTGTAAAATTATCAGCCTATTCAACCACTCACCTTTACAATTAGTAAGAGTCATATGCGTGGGTTTGGTCTTTAAATCGTAAGTAATTTAACACTTGAACGATCAAGATTACGATACGTCAATGACTATCGAACAAGAAGTTTGCAAATATCATTTAGCTTCGTAAGGATAATAAAATATTCGAGTTTTCAAAGATAGTAGATGTATCGTATAGGCGATAGAGTCCTTAAAAATTCAGACGAACTAAGCTTCTTTTCTTCGATTTAGAAGAAAAAACGATAAATTCCAGACGACCTGAGCTGGTCTTTTGACGCAACTGCTCCTACGATCGTTTAAAATGCACGGCGTGTGATTCACTGCTAATTGCGCGACATGATTCTACGTTTCTTTCAGCTTCTATCTGTTCAAACACGCGGAAAATCGTGTCTTTTATGACAGTACGTAAGCACGAGCGCGATCAATGAAGCCACTGATTAAGTGAACGTCTGTCAAGATCGAGGGAGTCGATTATTGCTACAGTTCTGCTATGTTACAGCTGTCCGAGAGTCTTTGAAGTATTCTAAACCAACTCGAGCTTTGAGAAAATTCAATCAAACTTTACAGAACTCGTACAATAAATATTATCATACCGCAGTAAATTTGTAAATTCTCTTATTCGGAGTAAGCATATCAAATTTTGATAACAAGGAGCAGCGAAATGTCGATATTATGACAAGAGGCAAACGTATCGTAATTTAACACGAAGCAAATTAAACGCGTTTCGAGTTGTTTTTGACCTGATTATCTACTTTTCCCATTAAAAATACCTTTTAAATACGAAGAAAGATATGAAGAAACTGCTCTTCGCGCACGTTCTTTCTCACTCCAATTTTATGCTCGTGTTTCCTTCCGAAAATCAAAAATCTTTTTGTGTAGAAATTAGCAACGTAATTGGGTCAAACCGTATCGATTGGGGATGATCGTATGAAACTGTATTGCAGAAAAAAACGATCTACACGAAAATCTAATGGTGCAGAAGGAAAAGATCGTGAATTAATACTTTATCATGAATTCTGCTCAATTCCATGAATGGCTTATCGTGAATGAGAAGTTCAACGACACTCGTAAGTGCTACGTGATTCGATAAAACTAAAGTGCGTTTGCACACCGATGATTTAATGATAAATATAAGTGATGTAAGGAAAGCTATTAATATAATTGCATCGATCTAGACTCCGCGAAGATGCGTTTGAAAAATATGATGTTTGTATAAACATCGACTAACAGTGTAAGTCTATCGATAAAGAACTTCCGTCGTATATTCGTTTTTGCCTGTAACTCGTTTGCGAGAAAAATTCGATTTCATGGATTATAAACATAACGTAGGAAACTTTTTACGGCATTGTAATTCGGCATGAAAGCAGTAAAAAATACTAATAAATGCGGATAGGGAAACGAAATTGCGGTATACGTAATCGTTTGCAGGAAGATTAACATCGAGTAACATTGGATTTGCTATGAAAACACAAAGATGTGCGCAAATAAGCGGAGGAAAACAATGTGCCGCAACACTGATCTTAAAATTATATCACCACGAAGTGTCTCCGTTTGCTCTGACAGCTGCGATTACAATTATCGTAGAATATATAACAAATACGTCTATGAATGCGTTAAAAGTGCAATAAATTATAAATATAGATCGAAGGAGTCTTGATACGCAGTATAAAATTGTAAAATTTGAAGAAAATATCCGACGTTTCTATAGACTTTGGGATTACGAGTCGCGTGAGAAAATGTTGAAACGCCATTCAAATTTACACGTTCGTACGTAAATGGGAAAATATGCGAGTGGGATACAAACATGTATAATCCGTACTGTTCGAGTCGTAGATTCGATAATTGTCGTTGAATACTTTGTACGAGTAGTAATAATAGTATCGTAAAAATATCATACCGAAGATTTCTTTATCAACGACACACAAATACTATCTGTTTACGGTGAAGCTGAACAGCACTAACGACAAATAATAAGTAAGTTTTCGGTAAAAACATACCAGTACTTATCTAACGGTTATGTGAAACCGTGTTTATCATAATATAATTACGCCTGTTGATGACGCAGACCGGCACACTTTCAGATACGCTCCACTTTCGCGGCTCGAGTGAATACACCGAGCATATCACGCGAATCTCGCGTTTACGCGTAACTGTATCGAAAACGGGGCACGTTCGGGGACCTAGTTGCAGAAAACTATGGCCAATCTTTCGTTGCATAAGCGACAGTGTAAAAATAGCCGTGCGATAACGAAGGTACCGGTACTCTTGTACTATAATGAAAAGGAAAAGGCTGTTCGAGCAGGCAGAGAACTTAATTCGATGTAATTCTTTGGGTACCTCGAACGATATCCGGAGCGAGGAGAATCGTCGTCGGTCGTTTGAAATCGTGACCAGGGCATAGATTTTTATCTCGTCTTAATTTGATACAGAAAACTTGTGAGAAGTATGAATTACAAATGAAGCTTGGCGATTCGATTAAGAAATCGGTTTTACAAGTTCGTTTTAATTTTATTGGACGAACGTGTGTACAGAGTAACGTAACGTCGTTTGTAAGATTAGTTAGTATCGATTGTTGATGTTTTGATTATGTAAAGATAATTAAAAATATATCCTGTTAAGAAGGACTTTGTTCTACACTCTCATAGCTGAGAAACGATAATTACATTGAAAATTCCCTGCAACTACATGTACGCTATTAATACATATTTCCAATGTTATTAGCAACGTAATTGAAATTATAGATTGAGCTTTATATGTACGTATCTAAACTTGCGTTTCTTCATACAGATGTTTCTACATTTATATGTTAATTTCTACGTTCATACGTTCTATACTTCTTTCTATAACTATCTGTTACATGGCAAAGAACGAACAAGATACACTCAAACGTGGTCTATTTTTAATCAAAATTATTGACCATATTTCATTCGTCATGTTCGGCCCGATGCTATAATGAAAAAGAAGTCACATCTCTATGAACGATAACGAAACAATTACAAAATAGCATTCCGTTTCCAACCTGTTTTAAATCACACAATTTGAAAGAATCAGCCACAAATCGAATTGCGAAAATCTCCCGAGAAACTGCTACGGAAACTGAAAACTTCATTTCTTCCGATAACTCCGGTTGACCGATAAATAAACGCGTGCCTCTCGACCGCGTAAACTATCCAAAGATTAAGCGTGGAAAGTGTATTTTATCTAGGAACTCACCTCGACAGTCGTAGACTCACTGGATCGGATCTCCGAAGAGAAAGGCCGCCGACGTGGACCGTTCGTGCTGAAAAAACGAAAACGAGCTCGGACAAAAACACAGAAGAGGAAGAACACGGAACGGCGTCCGCGCCTCGACTGAAAGCACGCGTCCTAGCATGGTCGCAACGATCTATCGCTGCGTTGCCGATACTTCTTACGAATGACGCGAGGAAAATCGTGGAGTAAACGCGGCCTTGGCTCGTCTAATCGCTACGATCTTCTCTTCGCATGTATAAAACGGGCACTGCGCTCGCAGCCTGCAGAGTCGGACCCATTGTTCGCCTCGTCATGGTGCGATATCGCGTGCCACCGATGTATACTGCTTTTCCTGGCACGTTTTTCTATTCTACTCGGTTTTCTTCCTCGCCAACTTTCCTATCGCGCGAGTAAAGACACGAGCTGCATCAACTTTCTCGTTGCATGATTCTATCATAATAGATAATACCTAATCACCTTGCAATTGTTACGGAAGATTTGTCATATTTTTTTTACCGTTTAAGAGAAAACGACGATGGTTAAAGAAAGAATAAAAAAAAAAAAAATTGCCAAATACTTATCAAATAATCGCAAAGCGAATAAATAATCCGAAACCAATTAAACGAAGTAGCAAACAGTTAGCGAATATATTAACGCGGTGTTTCCTTCTAATTTATGACGATCTTATCGGAGAATATTTTTGGAATAAATTATACTGCGCATAACGAGCTCATTTTTATGAAGGCGTAGTCGATTTAAACTATGCGTTGATATTACCGCGAGCTTTATAGCGGCACTTCGATGTTGAGTAGCCGCTGATTACGCGACCACGTGGCCCGATCCTGGTACCAAGAATTCGTGTTTCGCTACTCTAACGAGGGTTTTTTTTTTTTTTTTTTGATGGTAAATTCAGTCGAGAACGAGCGAGATAAAACGAATGTCCCTCGGCATTTGACTGCTATGTACGGAAACACGACTTCCTCCTGCAGCGACAACTGATTTCCCACCGGATCAGACTTCTTTTTGGATGTTTTGCGTATGTTCACTTTCAGGTCGTTTGCGGAAGAAATTGCTACGGCGGCTGAAGCAGATGGAAGAACGTAATTTTAGCTTCGTGGTTTATGAAACAACGCCGGATTCCACAAAATTTGTACGTAGAGCAAAGATTCGCGCTTCGTTCCTTTTTCAATATCTTCCTCTGTATTAAATTTTATCAACACAGAGGAATAACTACGGACGAAAGTAGCCTTTGCCCGGAAGATCTAGGAAATGATGTCAAACGATCAAGGCAAATGGATCATCCCGTACGCAGAATTTTAAGCATGTGAAAATGGAGAAGATAAGGATATTTGTATGCGACGTGCAGTTGTGCGCGTCGATTATTACGAATTATAAATCGTCGGTTACATTTGTTGATGTTTAAAATCAATTAACGTAGCGTACTTTGCGAAAACGCGATAGGATTCGTTTCACTTAGTCATCGATGTCGCCCAACAGTGAATAATTATTAATCACTCATCGATCAATTTATTGTCTACGCTCGTACATTTTTTCTATGCATTTTACGATCTCTACGAATACAAATTTCACCTAATATAGATATTTCTTCGTCTTTCATAAAAGAAACTCCGCTGAACCAACGTTTCAGTTTCCACGTTATGGGAAATATTTCCAAATGCAAGACTTCCGTAGAAAGAAATTACAAGAGACAAAGGATTCTAGATGAAAATCAAACTACCAGAACCTTTTTAATTAATACAAAGTAGATCGATTTTCTCAAGATAATGACATTAAATAACGCTTTCGTTGCTACTGACGTATATACGCATTGCGGTGCGTCAATTAACTAATGCTACTGACGCAATTGATCTGGAACAGATAAAAGTTCGATGGGCGATATGTCGAAACAAACATTACCTAAATATTTTTTAAAATAAAAAAATGTCCGACGTAAAGTACGTAATTTTTGACGTCACGTAGCTGTATTTTTCAAACGCCATCATACAAAGTGAATAGTAAAAGTATCGACAAATTAGGTACTATATTACAAGGTAATAGGTAGGATTCCACGTAGAATGTAACTTTCGAGTGTAAAATTTAAATACATTACGATTCATTATCGTGAAATAGTTGCACGATAAAGGTAAATAACGAACGTAACGTGGACAGTTTCTAGCGAAACATAAGATTTCCATTAGCGTGCGATGAATACGAAAAATTCAACCAAAATTAGAAAGACTAATCTATTGGGTTGGCAACTAATACTACCACCTAATGACAAAATCCGCAGTCACTTAGTTGCCAATCCAATAGAATAAACAGAAACAAAATTTCCAGTTTTGCATTACGATCATTTAGAAAGTTGAATCGTTAAAAATTTTATATAATCATCTGAAGGACTGAAATTAATGTTATAACTGGATTTGGCGTTTAAAAATTACATTTCGCAAGAAAATTACGCAGAGAATCGTATCGTTTACTTTTTTCTTTTACAAAGTGGTTCTACAAGAAAGGATAGTCATCACCAATACAGTTCCGTTGATCTCTGTATGTGTCATTGTTAACCGTTGTTTCATTAATTATATTTCTGACAAGTGGTACGACCAAGAGGTTCTTCTCCAATCGTACACGTCATTTGCTGCGAGCGGAAGTATGCATGGACAGTTCATACGTATGCACGCGAGCGCATAAATCGGCCTCGACGCTCATCGGAATGTACTCCGATTGCTTATTCGAAGCGTGGATGCCAGCTATACTCCGATTATGCAAATATTCGGCGGTAATAACGTTAACAATGCCGGTAACTTCGTGCATGCGTGAATCCTCGCGCCTTCATTAGAGTTGCGCGCGCCAGTGTTGCAGCGCGGTTATTAATTAAACGATTTTCGCTTCGTTTTCCAACGATTTTTTTATGAATACGATGCGTTCTACAAAGATTGCGAAGATAGATCTACCTAACTGTAAAGAAATAGACGAAAATACCTGAGAGACGAGTGATTTTTTATTTTATTATTAGAATTATTTTAATATGAGAAAGGAATGAACGTTTCTTTCGCGTGTAAAAATATAACCATCGTGGTAACAATACGTGCTAAATGATACTATTAAGTAAACATTTTTATTTTTATAGTAACGACAACCACAACATTGTCATCTTCAGTAGCAGCTAGAAACTTCTGATCACAGTTATACAGGGTGGTTGGTAACTGGTGGTACAAGCGGAAAGGGGGTGATTCTACGCGAAAAAAGAAGTCGAAAATATAGAATAAACATTTTTCGTTCGAGGCTTTGTTTTCGAGAAAATCGACTTTGAATTTTCGCTCGGTACGCGTGCACTTTATCGCGTCTCGTTATAAACGAGATCTCACTGTAGATCGTTGTGTCGATTGACGTTATTTTTTTAATTTTTTAAATTTTTATTCTATATTTTCGACTTCTTTTTTCGCGTAGAATCACCCCCTTCCCGCTTGTACCACCAGTTACCAATCACCCTGTATATGGTGTAATGATTCTATTTAATTGTAAACTATGCATTGATACGATTCTTGTAAAAATTCTATAAGACACAGTGTTCACGCTATACTTGTTCGATAGATTTCTGAAACTTCGGAAACTTTCATGATGGTACAATAACGTTGTTCTTCGTTTGGAAAAGTCTCTGACAGACACTGTATCAAATCAATAAACGTCCGTGTACTTCCAAATAAGATCGTTTCACTTAAAAAAATGTATAAAAAAAATTGTTCACCCTTTGAACGATTCCGAATTCGTCACGTCCAACAAAAATATCACCTCCGTTGTTTTTGTCACTATCGAAAATCGAATGCTACGATCCTGCGCTAGCACGTGGCACCTATAACAGCCGGTTTGTGTTGACCGGGAGTCGTCATGACAACTCGAACGATCACCACGCGACAAGGACGGCCACTTCGTCGGTGTTTCGTGCAAACTTCGTAATGGTACCGTGACGACAACGTTCGCAGCACGAATACACGAAATTTCCACTGTTTACGAAGAAAATGGTGGTGCTCGACAAGCGTAGATCGTTGATAGTGTCCACCGCAGGTCACTTCTTCGGCGTGCCCCTGAAAGACGACGAGACGATCGCCGACGAGCAAACAGTGTTGGACAACTTCTTGGACAGAGCCGCGTGCAGAATTCTCTGTGCACAACCGGCGGATGCGAAGGACGAGGAACTGCGGTTGAAGTTGAGTAACGAGTTACCCGTTGGGAGGAACACTCTGGTCTTCTTTAAGGTAAATAAAAGATAAAAGCAGAAGATAGAAGAAGCGTGATTACTCAACGCGTTACAAAGAATTGTAGAATATCGTTTGTCATTTATTTAGCTACATCTCATTAAACGATAAAAATGCACGCCATTTCGATATTTTTCTAAACATTTGTTCTTTGTTTCAATTATTCAATAACAACGACACAATTATTGCATTGTGATTCGCGTGAAGTCGTTTAAATAAAATTATAGCGTCTAAGAGAACAACGATCTTAAACTGCTTAATACCTTCTAAAGTAGAAAGTCGAACGAACTGATGAATGAAAGCTTAATATAGTTAACAGAAGCGTCGGTGACAGAAAGGAATTTCCACGATCTCGTTCAAGTTACAACGACCGGCAGTGGAAAAGGATCGACGTTGCTCGAAGCTCTGCGTCAAGTATGGGCGCCAACACTTCGGTCTTCTGGTCTCAATTCATCCTATTTGAAGAAGCTGGAGGAGAATCTTCTTGGCTCGTCAGCAGCGACTTCCGTCGTCGAGGAGGAGAATTATTGGAGAAAGACATGGGAGGATGCGAAACGATCGCACGACAAAACGATTTACGCGGAGGCTGTAAAAACCTTGAGGAGCATCCGAGCCGAGTTGGAGAGCGCAGCGGTGGCTAGGTGTCGTAAAAAGAGATCATTTCAGTGAATTCTTCGGTAGTTGGATCGTGAGAAATTTTATGGAGATACGTTTTCTAGCTATCTTTGGAACATTGCGCGTGAAAGCATTACTTCTGTTACAATTGGCATGCAAAATTTGAGATAAAAAATTAAGCATATTAATTTACCTAATTGTAATTATGAAAAGTTTTGTTTCTTTTTCTTCTCTATGATATAGCATATAGGTTTTAGTCTTAATACAAAAATTTGGAATCCTTTGTTCTTTTAAATAGCTACGTATAGGAGGACTTCTGAATTTTTATTTCCAGTGCTGCAATTAGAAAATAAATAACTTTCACTTTGGTATATTTTATCTGCTATATTCCTCTTTTTCGTACACAGAGATGGGCTAATTAGCGTGGATGACGCTGTTGAAGCAGTATCAGGCTACACCGACGACTTGTGGAAGTTAGGAGATCTAATATACACCGAGGAACGTATGAAATCTTTTTTGGATGTTATTGGAGACGAAGTGGTATCTCTCGTAAGAAACACAATCGGAGAGGTAAAATATCTTAACTAATATTCTATGATAAATTACGTTTAAATGAAACTGCTAGGAACTAGTTTACTTTCTTTATCCATTTCATTTTTGTATCTTTCAAAAATCAGTTTACTTTAGTCGGCCATCGGTTTAGTTTTTTATTTAGCATAGTATCTATGAAAGAGAATTCCACGGACTTAATATATTTTTCTAAAATTTGATGAAGTTACTCGTGTTCATCCTCAAATTAGATTCGAACTAACGACGATCGAGTGAAAATTGAAGCGATATCAAGTGGTGCAGGAATTTGCGAAAAATGGACAGACATGGTGGAGAAATTCACTACGTTATTTTGGCCTCATCATTCAGTTCATCCGTGGAAGGGTGATAGTTACGTCCCCGAAAGATGTTCACGTATTGGCAAACGGCTCAGGTATCTCTTATTAATTTGCTCTTCCTGCTTTGTAGCTGGATTCAATGGGCGATTTTCTTGGTATTTAGGCAGATTGGGGAACTACGTGCTCAGTATAGGCAATTAACCAGGCTGCTGACTCCTAATGAGAGATCTGGACTTGACACGGATACTTTGATGCATTGTTTCGATGATGTTAAAGGTATCCCTGCATTGTTAACATTTAATTATTGCAAAAGATACACCTGTTATTGCGTAATCTGTGATCATTGCAGCAAGTTCAGAAGTCGATAAATTTTGCCTCGGTAATATTAACAAAAATGTGTAGAATTATGTATATTTATTAAATATTCTAATAAAGGGATACGACAATAGTATCTTTTTAATGTAGAACAATTATGTATGGTAAATTACGTATAAAATCTCAAAAAATGGTACCACATTGAAAAAACATAGTATTATACAAAACTAGTCGAAAGAGTATTTAAAACGACAAAAGATACATAGAGAATGATTTATGTAAACGCTTGATAAATTTTTAGGAAACATACAAATAATTTAACAAATATACGACGAAAAATCTATCCAGCGGCGGATGCTTCTTATATTAATTATTTTACCCGATTATATTTACGCACATAATGACACGCAATTAATTATACGTACATCAGTAGTCTTCGATGACGACGACAAGTGTGTTGAATGGAACCGACTCAAGAGGAAGATCGAAGAAGGGCTGGTACCCGCTGAAGAAAGAGTAGCGCAGAAACTAAAGTCACAAATTGCCGATGCTACTACTCCAAACTCTCTACTCGCTGAATTTCGACGGTACTTCGAACTAATAAAGAGAGATGGTTTAAAAAGGGCTTTACGCGGAGAACGAGAGGCTTTGCTCTCAGCTTACGGGGATCTTACAGGTAATTCTAAAGGAGAAAAGGAATCGAAACTCGAATGAATTCAGAATGATTTCGATTACAATATTATAACCTTCTGTCCACGTTCTTACGTTTTAACTTCTCATTTTCTGCGTCATTGATCGGCGGATCTAAAGAGAATTGCTTGGCCGGGCCGGATACGGCAGACTTGTTGGATAGTCCGAGAATACTTCAAGAGGTTCAAGCTGCCAGATCTGCGGAATTAAGATTGGAAAGTTTAAATAAATTAGGAAAGGAATTGCTTGCGGATCTTCCTGGTTACGATGACATCTCTTTGAGAGTAACGACAGCTCTGAGAGACGTTGAAAGGAAAAGACAAAGCTTCGTTGATACTTGGGTAATTGTATTATTTCAAGGTCTTATATTATCCTATAGTCTCCCTATAAAGCACAATTCGCTTGTCAGACTGAAGAAACTAAAGAAGCTGTCGCCAGAAAGGAACTGACGCTAGGCACTGACTCTGCGGTGGTGGAGTTAACTGGCACCAGTATGATGAGGGTCACGTACGATCCAAAGCTAATGACTTTGATCAGAGAAGCTAGGGCACTTTCGAGTCAAGGCGTCGAACTTCCTCGTGAAGTGAGGGAGCTAGTCGAAAGAGCAGGTTCTTTAGCTGGACGTGCCAGAGCTCTACAACAGATCGCCACCTTTCACAACACGATTGGCGATCGTATGGTACCGTCTCAGAGACCTTTAATGCTCACGACCGCGCTCGAATTGGCACGAGCCGTTCAAGAACAATCTGGTGTAGTTTGGTCCGATCCTCAGGCTGTTGATGCTTATACCGCTAGGTTGAAAGAATTGGTAATTTTTCAATCTTCTTTGCGATTCATTTAATCTGCAGTTTGCAATGCATTTATGTCACACCGATTTTACAAAAATATATTTATGTATAGCATATGTATCGTATGAACATTTGCAACGTATCTAGGATGAATATAATAGTGAAATATAAATTAAATAATTGGGGGTTTGAAGGCTTAAAAAAGAAGAACCACTTCAGAAACACTGAAAAATAATAAAACAAAACAAATTATTTATATTTTATTTTTAATACTTTCGATCTATTTTACTGAAGATTGACTTATACATGTAATAGATACCGTAAAGAAGCGTAAAAGTAGACAATGAATTAATTAGAATTGATTACCAACTAGTTTTTTACTTTTCATTGAGAAAGGTGAGGAAGTTTGCGCAACAGAATTCGGAGTTAGCTGCGAAGCACAGTTCTTTACGGGACCTGGTATCGAATTTACTGAAAGGAGACGCTGTCAATATGATCGGAAACCAGAATGCTTGGAAAGACGCATTGATGAGCATGAGGACGATCGTCGATACTGTGGAAGCTGAATACGGAAATACGAAAGCATGGAAATTACATTGGGATAGACAACTGCTCAAAGCATTAGGTGTGGCTTACAGGTAAACTGTGGAAAGCTCAAATCTACTGTAATTATTTTATAGTAATTGGAAATCTCGTTAAAAGAAACGAAATACTTGGTCATTTTGAAAATTTCATTTGCAAAATCTTTGAAATTTAGCGATGTTCGAAGAGTTCCACACGATTTTTAAGCTACTCTAAACGACACTGAAACTTTAAAAAGTTACTTCAAATAATTCTAAGCAAATGGACTAGTACCGAATCGCTTTAGAAGCTACTAGAAACTTTGAATAATTGATTTGATTTATCCTCAACAATTAAACTATACATCACACTTTCCATTATTCTTTATTTCCTCATAAAAGGAAGATACGTAAAAGAAGCTTCCTTTGTCAAATAAAATCGAAACAAAAATCCCTCCACTTCTATCTTAGTCAAGTCCTATCAGTCTATTTAATTTTCGTATTCATAGATAATCCGCGTACGAAATAGAATAATAAAACAAGAACTTTTTCTCTGCGCCAGAGGAGCGTTACCGTCGTTGTTGAAAAAGTTGCCAGAAGTTAAAGTGGAATTGACGTTCCGGGACGGGTCTCTGCAATGGCGACCGTCCC